TATTGTACCAAAGATGATGATCTACTTACTTCTAATATATTTTATGTGTCTTGCAATAATGTCGGTTAAATGTTATAAAAAAATTATGCTATTAAAAAATTCAAAATAAAAAAATTATACCTTTGAACATCATGAAGACTTGTTGGTAGATTTTTTTTAAAATCTTAACTTTTTTTCTTTTTTGACTTGGGTTGTCGACCTAACTTGGATTGATCTTTTTGTGTTCTCTTTTTTTGAATCCAATGCTTGAACTATCATTCTTACAGCATCATCATCATCAATACCCCCTTCACTATTAATACTATCTGATGAGTGGTTAATGAGAAGTCGAGACACTTTTTTTCTAAGCTCTAGCATTGCTTGATGAACCATAGAGAATGCCTCTGGACATTTAGAAGTATCACTAGCTAATTTTATGAGCATGGGGTATAATTGCCTATATTGATTTGAGCATTCTAGTTTAGGATCAACTTCAATTTCCTTTCTTTTAATATCATTCACTACACCATACCTTGCTTCTTTTGTTCACCTCTTTAAAACATATTGTTTTTGAAGTAGCTTTAAATCTTAATCATACAATATCCTCAATGCATTACAGCACAATATTCCCTATTGTTCAAACTTCTTACAACTACAAGTAATAACAGCCTCCTTCTCTTCTCTTGATGGCTCAAATGTCAATCTCCACTCTCTTTTTTTATCAACCATTATGATTACATATTCAATAATAATAGCATCATCATCTGCAGTTATTTTTCTTTCTTTCCTCTCTTTTATACACATAGCATCACGTAAGTCATGCTCATGCTGGAAAAAGTCAAAAATTAGTGGTGTGTAAACTTGAGAAATCTGGTTACAGCATAGATGAACTCTTCAAAATCAACCTCGACAACTTCTAGCATAAGCTGAAATCACTTTGCAATTCATTATACTGCTTATCCATAATAACTTGTTCAAAGAAACTAAAGAATTGACTAATATTCAATTCAGGATTAGTGCAACTTTTTATAAATGAATTGATACTTTCATTAAGTTGTGTACTTCTTATGCCAAGAGTCTTTGGGTACTTCATGTAACATGTTGTCCATTTTTCTTTTAAGTTGTAAATAGATATCAACCATAGATTTTCTTCTACATTACATTTTGATAATAATTCTTTCCAAGATTCCTCAAACCTTATTTCTTCCTTACAATGATACATGCACCAATTAAACTCACCCAGAAAACAAGAGTCATCTTTCATTAAGTTTCCAAGATATTTCACCCCATTTCTATTGACATGGAATATGCATAAGCCATGCTTTACATTTGGCATTATTTCTTCAAAGGCTTTTGCCATTGCCACATCTTGGTTAGTAAACACAGTAAATGACATTTTTTGCTTATGTGCATGTAAAAAGGTTTCAAAAAACCATTTAAAAGACTCAATGGTCTCATCATATAATAAAGCAGCATCGAATATCACTACTTCTTTGTAATGGTTGAAACTTGAGAAAATGGCAAGTGGTCTGTTGTCATGATTTATTAAGTATGTTGTATCAAATGAAATGACATCCCTAAAACAAGCATAATCTATCAACATACATGCATCATCCCGAAACACATTAGTTATCTACTCTTCTTAGTCTACTTGATAAGCATGAAAAAATAAAGGATTTTTTGTTAATTGTTGTTGGAAATAGCGAAGTAGAAACCCAGCTTCACCATAACCATGTCTCGTTGCCTCCTTAAACTTAAATAACTCTTTACCTTATCTTTAGTATACCCCAAATTAGCCTTCCCTCCTGCATGTTTGCTTATTAAATTAAAAGAAGCTTTTTGCTTAATCCCTGTATCTTCAGCAACCTCCAAAGCATAGCCTTGTGCTTTGGGTAATCTCCTTTGTGATGCTAACAAATGAATAGTCTCTGGGGCTCTAAAGGGTAATTATGGTCTAAAATTAGTTCACTAACTCTAAATCTTTCATTCACCTTTTTAACTATCATTTTCACTTTACACCCTGTTCTTATTTCCTTTCGAGGCTTCTTAGTTTTAAAATATCTTTTATCTAGTTTTTTCACTCCCTCCTTGGAGCAAACATATTTGCAATATATGATAGAATCATCCTTCTTGCTCTTATTAGAGTTTTGATTTCTAACATTGAATCCTATTCTTCCACCATAGTCAATCCAATATTGCCATGCCTCTTCTAGATCATCAAATTCAAGATCAACTGTTGGAGTCATACCATTTTTTAAAGCTAACAAGAAAAGCTAAAAAACAAAAACACTAAAACCAAGAGTAAGTAGATAAAAATAATAATAAAACATTGTTATTTATGAGAGTTAACAAGAAACTGTTAACAAATTTAAAAAAAAACCCAAGAGCTTGGTGATGCATTCGTTTATGCAAAGCTAAAGGGATAATAACGTGTTAAAATGGTTAGCATTGCTTTCCTGTAGTTGTGACTATCATTAAAAAATTTCTATGCAACACAAGTCTATGGCAAATTAGTAACGTGTTTCAAAATAAATTCAAACATAAATACAGGGGAGGAAAATGATCAATGTAAGGGAGAAAGAGAGAGAGAATGGCAATTATGTTGAGCAAGTTTTATGTTTAAATGGGAGATAGAAATGATTAGTACATAAGAGAAAAATAGAACCATACCAAATTACAATCAAAATCCTTCCTTGATCGAAATCTTTCCTTGGTCAGAATTTCTTTCTTATTATGTGAGCACGTCAACTCTGTTCTAGAAGAGAAAAAAAGCCAAGTTCCCATGCTTTGGTGGTGGAGAAGAAAATGAAACATTATTTGACTTTTTTTTTTCTCTTACTCTAGACAATGTCATTTTGAGGAAGTGAAGGGAAATGCAGGGATGTAGGATGGAGAAATGAAGACACCCTCAGCCCTTATAAGAGAGAGTTGAAATTTTCCAAGTATCTCTAGCTTTTTTTTTTTTGGGACCAAGGTAATCTTTTCGCTGCAGTAATGTATAGGAGCAGTGTTTCTAAAATATTTCTTCTTTTAATAATTTTATTTTAAGTATTATTATCATAATTTATGCTTTGCCTGTCCGACATCTGCAAAGAATTTTTTTGTCCTTGATGTAAGACACATATAAGATTATCTATTACCATTTCTTAATTCTTAATTTTACCTCAAATATAAATTTAATTTTGTGCTCATCGTATGCCGTGTATCTTCCTCTTCCTATTTTTAACAAGAGTGAAGTTAAAAAAATTTTAATCTTAAAACATATTTAATGAGTTAATCGTCATTCTTTATTTTTAGAAAATTACTCCTTTTGGTCCTTTTTATAAAGCAGATAGAGAAAATTTTTTTGGTTATATTTATAAATTATATCATTAAATTTTTATAACAAAATTTCTCTTTTACCCTCCATTGAATATTGGAGAGAGAAAATATGTTATTAAAATATGTATATTTAATAGGGATAAAGTTGAGTACTTATTAAATTTTAAGACAAATTTAATGAGTTTTAAAGTTTTTCTTAATATGGGTGAAACATATTGAAAATAACTTATAAATAGAATCAGATGAGTAGTTGAAAGCGTTTTATAATAATCATCGATATTACATTATACAAGGACATTATTATCGGGTAATTTGAGAAAAATAATAAACATGAGAGAGAAGAGATAATTATTGAGATATTATGTCATATTTATAAATTACTTACAGTATAGTTAACCAAATCTGAAAAAAATCTCAAACTCATTAAATTTGTTTTAAAATTTAGTAAGGATAGAGAGGTAAAAAATAAATGTATACAGTAAAATGTCCTGTAAAAGTATAAATAAAATCAAAATTAATCTTCTTTCTTTATCCTAAATATAAAACTAGATGAGTAGTATTTAGGATAAAATCAAACTAAATCCCTAACTAACTCCCACTTTGAGATCAAAGATAGCAATAAACAAAGTGAAATTAATAACAATCCAATAAACCTCGCTAATAACAAACTGAACATACTCTACATTCACAGCTACTAAACGAAGATGAAAGGTCAGACCAATATCTTCTAATATGCCAACTATTTTAGTTTTGCTGGGAAAAAAACTATTTAGTTTTTTTTTAATATCTGAATAAGTACCACGTGCTACAAGTTAAGTAACTATAAGACTAAGTTATTATTAGATACTTCTTCCGTCCCATTTAAACATTTTTGCATGTGTTTTGGTATTTTAAAATATAAAATGTTTTGACAAAAATAAAATCTTATTACTGATAATTATTCTAGTCTTATCCCTCAATATTTCACTCCTCAAATAAATTTATTTCTCTCCATCTCTTATTTATGAATAGAGTTTTTGAAAATTTATAAAAAAAATTAAGATAGTAAATTGTATTGGTATGTATAATTTTACCAAAAATTACCTTATAAATTAGGATAGAAGGAGAAATAACAAAGTTATAACTACAATTTTACGTAATTTTTTGAGCCAACAACTACAATTTAATTAATTAATCACCATTGAGAGCACGACCTTCCAAACATGAGATGGCTAATTATAGTTCAATGTATCAATTCATAACCTTATAATTATAATTATAATAGCTTCTAAGTAGTGTATACATTTATAGAGCACAAGAGACAAGCTAAAACTAACCTGTAAGATCAAACCCTACGCCTCGAGTGAGCCTAATACTGCTGACGTCTGAGGCACATGGTAATTTTCTTTTTATAATATTTTAATGTAATATAATTTAATAATAATAGTTCCATGTTTTCATATCATGTTATTAATAACTTCCCATGACTTACAATTAAAATTTGTTATAACGAAGTTTGGTGAAAAAACTATCTATATTTAGATTATCTTTAGTAGGAAAATATATGTGATCAGTTTTAAAATTAAATTAAAATTATTATTATTACTGAAAGCAGGCAAAATCTATTGAGAATATTTTCTTTTTATTTATTTATTTATTTAAAATTCCGAATTCAACCCTAAAATATAAAAATCCCAAATCGGTATACCCGAGCCGAGAAGTTTGATTTGGTCCTTCGGAATTTCTCCAGTGCGCGTCGCTTTATCCATCGCTGGCAAAGCTGCGTCGTCCTCCACCGACCCATCGTTCTTCGCCGGCTTCCTTCATCCTCGGTGAACTCTCCTTCTCAGTTCCTTTCTACTTCCTCCATCTGTTTCCTAGTTCTCCTCCTTCCGGCTGATATACCTCCATCTCCATCCAGTCCACCACCGTAGCTGAATCTCTCCCAATCCACCATCGCTGAATCCCCCCACCGTCTTCTTCAGGTGCGTTGTGCATTGATGCCTTACTGTTGTTGCCCAATTGCTGCGGCACACTTGACAATATTGATGCTATCCTGTAATTTAGAGTTGATGCTGTTATCATACTGTTTTTGCTCGTGTAGTAGATTTTTGTATCTTCTCTTTTTAATTTTGAACCTAGAAAGATAGTGCCATAAGTAGTCAGTTGGCTAGTTGCCCCGTGCTATTGCCAGGCTGAGTTACATGCAGTTGATAGTTTCTTATTTATATTATATTAATGGCTACATATACATGTATCTGATTTTTTGTCTAGTTGCAAACCCATTATCATTTATGCATTGGGCCCTCATTTGTTGTCCTGCATTTTAAGGGACTTTGGATGCAAAGTGATTAGGTATTGCCAATTGAGATTGTTCTGTTTTAGAACGTGGCTTTTATTTTTCGTCTTGTTGATCTTCCAGTGATTTCATATTTCCAGTTGAGTTTCATTACGTGTTAATTTTTTGTGTTTTATAACTTGTATGATTATGGATCTTGATGAAGACTTTGTAGTGTGAATCGATGTTGCCTTTTTTATGATTATGGATGATTTTTTTTTTAAATGCATATTATTCAAAATGCGTTAATTTAATTATGACCAGGTTGGCCATTGTTTGATTAAGGTATATTAAACCATGAATTAGTGCCTCGCCAGTTCAATGAATAATTTGACTTTCTTAATATTTCCATTGTAATTTTCCCATCAATCTAACTGGGCATTGCTGTCACTGCAGCCACTTGCATTCCTCTCTTACTAGACAACAAACCTTTCCTCTCATTTGTTTCCGTAATTTGTTACTTTTCCATATCCTTTCTACAGGCCCCCTTCTTAAATCTGTGAAATTTGAAGCTGAAGCAGAGCTCTACAGTGGCCAGCAAAATGGTGTCTGGCTTAATAAATGCTAATCCTATAGTCTATGAAAAGAAAGAGCGTCGAACTCGCACCATGCCCACCTTTGCTGATGAAAATGCTGCAGAACCAATAGACCAACAAGAAATTTTTGATATCCTTTTCAATTATCAATTTATATATACATACATATATGTTTTGCGTGCTTCTGTTTATGTTTATTATTTAATTTGAAGCGTTTGAAATTAGACTGCTCGCAAAGTCAATCAATTGCATTTTAAGTTTGCTTAACATTCGTAAATCATTTAAGGGATATCAAAGACCCAGAGCACCCATACTCCTTAGAAGAGCTCAAAGTAATAACTGAGGATGCAATTGAAGTTGATGATGAGCATAGTTATGTCAGGTAGTGAACAGTTTGTTCTTCCCCTCTCCTGCTCTTGTGGCATTTTCTTTCCTTCTTTTGTGTGTGTGTGTGTGTGTGGGTGGTTGTGGTGGTGTGGACATTTTTTTTTTTTTTTTGGGAAGAGAGGGGGGGGGTGGTGGCTTTAATTATGTATGTTAAAATGCCATTGTGATTCTGATGCTTTGCATCAGGGTTACGTTTACTCCTACAGTTGAACATTGTAGCATGGCAACTATCATAGGTCTATGCTTACGGGTGAAACTCATGAGGAGCCTTCCTCCACGCTACAAGGTACCAACATTTGTTTGTCATTGTTGTAGTTTGCTATTTTTGTTAGGTTAATCTAATATATGGATTAAATTCCTGAGGAAAAGTGGTTCTTGACTCTTGACACGTGGATCTTGCATTGAAAATCTTGGTATGTTATGGCTTGTCATTAGACTTCAGAAAAGTATATCATTTTACAATGATACTTGGAAGCAATACAGATAGACTGCGTGGGTCTGTGCAATAACATTTTGTATGATTCAACATCTTCGCATTTGCTTGCTTTTATCATTTTATTTTTCTTGAGTATCGTTGGTTGTTGCTTATATAATAGAGGATACATAATGATGAAAAGCCAATTACTGATATATAAAACAAAGGATATTTATGTATATAAAATCAATGTTATAATACACTAATTATTGATATGTGGTACCATTCAAAGTATAATGTATATTGTTTACGGAGTTTAGATCAAATTCTACTGATCTTGGAACATCTGTGCCATTAAATGTGTGTCTTCTCAACTATATCTGTTTCTTATTATCTTTATGTAAATGATGGTTAGGTGGACATCAGAGTAGCGCCTGGATCTCATGCGACTGAAGCTGCAGGTTCTCCCTCCCTCTCACACCCGCACACATGCACAGAGTACATTTGTTTGTCAGTTACTTTTAAAACTTATATAGAGGAGGCATATTGTTGATTTGGTGTTTCCTCAGTGAAGTGATGTACGCTAATGATTGTCTTTTGCAGAAGATTTTCAAGTGTTGCTCCTGAGAGTTAAATATATGTTTATCCCGCTAGTTTAAGATTCAGATTTAATAACTCAGTTAATTTGATGGTTAACTGTTTTGTTCAGCCCGTGAAGCTCTGGAAGAGCAACTTCTAGTTTCACAATTTTATGTATGGAGGATAAATTATTGAATATATGCTGTAATTTGACACAAGTGCCCGTGCTCTGTGTCCTTGATTGAGTCTTGAATTTTTTTTTCCTTATTAAATCTTATATTATGACTGGACATTTGTTTTTATTTATTTATTGAAATTCAATTTCTTTCGCAAATGTATATGCAGTTAACAAACAACTAAATGATAAAGAACGGGTGGCTGCCGCACTGGAAAATCCAAATCTGCTGGATATGGTTGATGAATGTTTAGTTCCGTCTTTTGGTTGAAGGACCTTGTATCCCATGATGCAATAAGACTGTAGTTCCTTTAATGGTTGGACCTGATCAGTTTCATCAGTTGGTGGCTATTGTATTTGTGGTATGACTGTAAGCTCATTGATCATGCAATTTTTGCCTACTATACGTGATTTGAGTTACAGATAGGAATACGCAGCTGAAAAAGTCGTAGATGTGTTATTTTCTGTATGATTCTTTGATGAGCTCCGGAAGAGGACAAATATGTTTTTCTTCTCTCATGTTTCTTTTCTTGGTTTTGTTATACTTTTTTCTTGGTTCTGTAAATTGAATATTGGGAAAAAAAAAATCAGCTGTATTTATCTGGTAGGAACTATATTGGGCTTTGCGTCTCTGCACCATTTAAGGTGGGTGGTATGTGAATAGTGAAAATGGCCTCGTGCCAAGGATGTTGAATCCAAGACTTAACAATGACGTTATTTTAACATGGCAGTGCTTTGCAAAGTTTGCATTGAAGGCCATCTTTTGACTGGCATGGAGTTTCACTGTGATCAAGTTCTATATTTTAGTTTGATGCTTGGTTTGAATGGAGGGAAACGTGATAAAAAATAAGGAGATAATACGAGAAGGAAAAACTGAACTATTTTTATCATTTTTCTTCCTAGTGTTCTTGCCTCTATTTTTCTTCCTATATTCCAAACAAAAGGGGAATGTTCTTGTCTTGTCTTTTCCTTTTTTGGTAAGGATTGGATGTTTATGAATTTATGAATTTAAGAGAATGAAAGTGCAAATTACGGGGTCATGACCACAAGTAAATGCTTTTTGATCCTAATGAAATCTTAGAACTTAAGCTATTTTTTTCCTCCAGTATAGTAATAGGACCCTTTTTGGGAGACACAAACAGGACATTTGATTTAGATATGGTTCCATTCCATCAGTCACTTGGCTTATTAAACCGTTTGGGTTGACTTATCCCGAATCCTGATATTCAAATTTTGGATTATTATTCGCAACCTGATTGTCAAGGATATGCTCTCTTTAATATAGCCTCTCCCATATTTTAATATAAAGCATGTTCACACTGATCTTTTCTTTTTAATATTTAGCTGCTTTGCATGGCCTCTAATTCTTGTACTGAAATATATTTTTACTGTAATATAATTCGCTATTTGCTTTGTTTTAAAAAGGAGGGTTTGTATGGATGTATCTTCCAGATAAGACAAGTGTCAGAAAACGTTCATTATGATGAATTTCTTGTTGGGCCATGACAGTCATTTGCAAACGCATTTAAGTCTACCAGCTTAATTATTGAAGCTTGAAACTTCTTTGCCTTCTAGTGAAGATCTTTGGGCATTTGAGTAGCATCCTGATGACATGGTGCTAGTTTGAATGCCTCCTAAAAAATAAGTATCTTGGTTTGGAAATGAAACCAAAACAAAGACAGAAACAAGTTTGATGTATATAAAATCACATAAAATAAAATCTAATCTCCATTTGACGCATAGTGAAATAATGTTCGTTGCACACTAGTTATCCTACATTATCATCTCTCTTGGCATATTTTATAAATAGAGAGACCAACATTGAGGGATCAATAGTTATATTTTCCCTTGATGAATTTTAAAGATTAAAATTATAATTTTATGAAAATATATCCAAGCACTTCAAAATTAATTACAAATTAAATATATAGTTTTGAATTTACAATTGATTTTAAAACATAACATAATAAAGCCTCCTCAAAACGGATCACTAGATTTTAGAAGGTCCTCTCTTCCAAGTGAAATGTTCTTCCACAAATCCTGTCTAATTACTTCTTCAATTAGATGCCCTAGCCTCTAAGTACGAAGCATAACAATTGCAGGTATTACAGATGGCCCTCACCAATACCCTTGCTCGTTCCAACAGCTCCAGCTTCAGATTCTTTGCCATTTCACGAAATTTTCAATCTGGCTGTTTCAACAGAACTCATGATCTTTATAAGGTTCCCGTAAAGCCCAGTGTCTTCCAGAGTGTCAGCAAGAAAAATTCCACTCAATTTTATCATATGCCCTCTCCAACTATGTAATTCCTGATCAAAAACGTTTATAAAGCAGCCCTTCAACGCCAAGACCAAGAGTTCAATTATAATAACATACGAAACGAGACGACAAATGAATTTATTTACAGTAATTTTGACTTAAAAAACATGGGGCAAATTTTGATCCTTGCACCTTAGTGCGCACAGGAAGCATCTCTTCAGCGTGTATGACCAGAGTTACCCCAAGATCAGAGCCTTGGCACAAGGAAGAAGTCAAAGTAGAATATAACAGCACAATGGCCTCTGCTTGATCTTAACAATCAACAATCCAGCCAAATCAGGCAGGCAGTTTATAGGTATCCTCTTAATACATACCCAAAAAAATTATAAACTATAAAGAAAACTTGACACCTTCATCATCAGCTGAAGTTCCCTTGAAGATGACAAGCTTCCCCTTCTGTTCTAACAGCTTCAAAGCACGATTCAAGATGGTGCGATCTATCCCATGAAGCTCTTCAGCACATCAGAAAGTTCCAGAAAGTCAATTGTCGTCAAAAAAAAAAAAAAACATTTCGACCACAATTTCAATAGCAACAAGCATAGAAGTGGAAAAAAATATTAGACAGTTGAATACTTGAATATAACTATATGTTTAGTTCAGCTGAGCTTGAAGACCCCCTTTGAAAAGCTAAATCTCTGGGAAGGATGACTTTTATACTAAACCATGTTTGTTGTACTAAACAGGGTCCATACAGGTCGGAAAATTACCTGTTCCTTGAGATTCAGTCCCTGAGCATAATTCCTCTATTGTCACAACACCGTCCTCCAATCCATTATCCTTCGCCTAGTCAATATGGGGGAAAATTCAGTCAAAAACTTAAAATGCGTTAAATAGCAGCCTGAGCACCAGCATTATTAAACTAACAATCAAACTTACAAACTGTACAATAATGTCAACCCAATCTTGAATCCGGTGCCAGAGAATAAGACATTTTTTTCGTCCTTTATCCATCCATTCAGCTCGTCCTGCCAAATCAGAATTAAAGTTATGCGTTTTCTCTCAACCAAACTTAAGAAATGCAAATTCAATAGTGTGACCACAAACCTTCTGAAACTAATGCAGACAGGAAGGCTTCTCTGGCTTCATGACTAAGAGACCCTGCACTATAAACAAATCAAAAAACAATCCATGTGGCAAAAGATGGAAATAAGCAACATAGACAACTAATGAAGCACTTTGTATGACCCGTCAATTCAATTCAATGATCCTACAAAATCAATAAGCAGTCAAGAATGATGATCTTACTTTCAATGGCAGGATTTGAAAATAGAGGGAATTCTTCTTCAAGACCAACCACAAATATCTTCTGCGTTTTGCAGTAATCTAGAATAAGATCTTTCCACAACTGTACTTGCTTCTCTCTCGTGTCTCTCACAGGCTGCAAACTGAAAGAACAAACACGCCAAGGGCACAAGCCTAATCAACCATAAGCTTCTTTTTTTCCTCCTTTTGATTTCTCAAAAGTAACCCGTATTCTTTTAGAGTGGGACTAATCTCATACACGTTGCCCCCCTTCACAAGTGTTCTAAGTGATTTGAAACCCATAAAATCGTAGAGGTCCCTCAACACTAGTTCAAATTATAAGTCTATAACTAATCAATGTTTCTGACTGGTTAATATAAGTAAAAATCAAATTAAATATAAATAAAAGTATGATAATGAACACCACATGCGATTGAATTTTTAGTAATAAAAGAATCCATTGTGCAACAACGTTCAGATGCAACCTGAAGAAATATAAACGCTTTTACACGATTTTAATTTTTCACCATGGCTTGGCTCTTGATACTATCATTGCATATATCTCAGCTGATGGAACCCAAACTATTTGGTATAAAATCTCTACATTTTGGCACAGATATCCGCTTTCAAACCTTGCAAAAGTGTAAATTACTTGTCTTATTTTTACATACATCGTTGCTATAGTAAGGAATTTATCAAAGTCCAATGTCAAAGATACATAGGCATAGCAGTTAATTTTTCTAGCATGAATATCCCAAAGTTGGCTTTATCATCCACCTCAACACAAGTAAAAACAGCAACGAAGTCTCTATAAATAGACAATGTTGTCAGGGATTTCTAACTTAAAGACACTAAATAGTGAAACTCATCAAGAAAAACAAAAATCAGTTCCTGCTTGTCCTCATACTAATATCTTGAAAGTGACAAATCCAATCAATATTGAAATATTTGATTTGGTTCATCTTTTTACCAATTTTCAGTACTTTTTTAAAGGGTACGAGGTTATCCCCTATAGAGTTTAGAAGAGAATTCGCAGGGCAGGTTCTATAGATCAGTAGAATAGAAAATGCAATACTGACATAATATTTGTAAAAACACATTTGTGGTCTTCCTTTCAAGCTTATCCCCATAACTGATGACAATTGATGTGTAAGTCAACTCACAGAAGGGATATAAATACTCATTAGTGAATGTGAAAACAACTACCAACATTGGATATCAAAGCATGAACAGTCGGTATGTCAATTTCGATAACTTCCTAAAAAAAATTACACAGTATATAGAGAAAAGAGATTTACGTGAAGTATGGTGGATAATTGAAAAAGTGAGGTAGCTTGAACTCGCCCAGTTTCTGCATCTCTCAAGTGCCTCCTCCAGAACTAGGGGGAAATAATAATTATGTAGCAGGTCTTCTTGATGCTTAAATATCTTCAACTTGTCGCTGATAACCTCCAACTTCTAGGTTAAATTTCTGGCATAGAAATGCAGCTACATGCCTTACGTATTTTGAAGTAAACGATATAAAGATAAGTAGATTAATAAGCAACAACTGTACCAATAAAATAGCCTCATATTGACACCCAAAAATGTTTATTTCCATAAACTTGCCTCCGATGCGAACAAATCTCTTAGTACGCTACACTGTTAAACTAATTTATTAATGAACAACCAAAGTCTCACTGTACCCGATTCAACAACTATTTACTGCATTATATTTCCAGAAAATGTAATGGAGGATGTTTCAAGTCGAACAAGGATGTAATACAAAACGGCTGTAAAATTAGAGGGCGGAAATTGGAGAATGAGACGATGAAATTCAAGCAAGTTGTCGCTTTAAAGGCTAGGTTGATAAAAACATAACAGTTCATGGCCGAAAAATCCAGGTAGAGGACGCTACCTTCAGTCGGAAACAGAGATCCTATCCGGACACCCTGCACAGACACGCAGCACGGCTAAGAAGGGTTCGGAATACACGGCCTGCTTGGAAACCGGTCCTGTGAAAACAGTTTTCTGTTCTCCATACTAAAAAAACAAAAAAATTCATTTGATAATATATTTTTAAAAAATATTTTAAAAAATAAAAAAATAAAATATTATTCTGGAGAATAAAAAATAAAAACAACTTTTAAGTGTTCTGTGATTATTATTCTGGAGAATAAGAGAGAATGCGAAAAACACTTATTTTAATATTTTTTTGTTCTCAGAACATATTTTACAGAACACCAGTTTTCAGAACAATAAAATAAAAATAATTTCAAACAGCCCCATAGTCTCCTGATTCTTTTTATGTTGTTTCGTAATAATTCATATAAAATTCTATATCATTTATATATTCTTTTATCATACCGTTAAAAAATATATGACATTTTAATAATACACCCTTTAATAAATTAATAAAAAGGCTTAGATATTTAGTGTTACATATTTAATATATTTATATTTAGTGGGTTTAAATGTGTTAATAATATTAATAATAAATAATTATTATAAAAATATAATCTATAAATGACACAAATGTTTTGATTTAATTAAAAATAAAGTACCCACTCTGTTCCAAATTATAAAACAAAGTTGGGGTATATTGTTGTTTCCGGATATAAGATAATTTAAAAAAATAAGATTTTATTAATAATACATTTTCAATTTTACCCTGAAGAGAGAATTGAAATAATATTATAACGTATTTCCTCTTAATCAAAATATAAGATATTAGTAATTAATTCACGGTTTATGAAAAATTTTAGTTGAAATGTTAATTTCTTAGATAAATTTACATTTTTTTAATTTATCCTTATTAAATATTCTATATAAGTGCTTTGATAATAATAATTAAAATTTTAATGCTTTATTTTTTTAAAAAGAGTAATAAATGAAGTAAAGGTATAATTAGAAAAACAAATACAAAAGTTACTCAATGACCTATATTTTGAATTAAGTAAAGTTTCTAAAAGATAATATATATTATGGTCAATTGGGAGTACTAACTAGGTGTATATGAATATTTTTAAAAATTTATAATTTTGTTTTAAAAAGTAAGTTTAAAAAAGTGTCAATATTATGTCTTATTGGTATGCACAATTTTTCCCAACTTTGTCTTATAATTCAGGAAGGGGGAATATATAAGTTAGGAAGGGGGAATATATAAGTTTTCTCCTAAATTAATAAATTGTTTTTAAATTAACATGGTCTTTAATTATATGATAGTTGAATATAGGGAGAATAACATAAAAATTCTTTAGAAATATGCAAATGACAATAAAATCTCGTGAAATGTCATAATTTTGTTTTCAAATTCCCAAGGAACTTTCTGATATTAATGATTCTTTGTGAAATGACTAAAATATTCCTAGTTTAAAACAAAAAAAAATCTCTAGCCCTAAAAAAATATTAGTAACTATTTTAATTTCAGCAATAACTACTTTTTAAAATCAAACTTCAGTGAAGCAATAATTTGTATAAAGGAAATTGTAATTGTTTGTTCTATTTAGCCATTGTTAGAAAAAAAAAAGTAGTTATAGCTTAAATTAAAGTAGTCATGGATATTTATAACAATTGAACTTTAGTAAATAAAAAATTTGCATAAAGAAAGTTACAATTTATTGTTTCATTTTAGTCATTGTAAAAAAAAAATAGTTGTAACATTCCAAGTTTTAAATCTAGAATCTAATTACTAATTAAAAGGTAATTTTGTAAATTAGTAAGTTAATGAAGTTAATTATGATTATAGGTTGTTAATTATTGTTTCAGATAACTAGATAGTTTTAAATCAAGATTTAATGGAAGTTGGATCAGATCGGGTAAAAGTAGGTGAGCTAAACTTAGTTTTGACTTATTTTATCACGCATTGTGGCACATGGTGCAAAAGTTTGCTAGATAAATCGTGGATCAAGTCTAAAAATCAAATAGGAAAAGGGGAAAGAAGGACAAAAATATAGGTGAGGAGAGTTTTTCTATCAAAGTACCAAAATTTGAGTACTTAGGAGTCAGTTCTGACTTATCATCTTTCAAGTAAGCTTTATATTTCCTTGCTCTCCTTATATACTTTATTTTCTTTTGGTTTAAGATGTAAGGAAAATAAATTATGAGTTAGTAGAGGGTTTTTGTCTGACCTAATAAATATTATAAAGTTGTTGGGAGTTAAATTAAGTCTTTATATCTAAGCTTGGTGTTTATTGATTAACTTCTGGGGCTTTGATTGAATCCCAGACTCAAATGGAAAGTTTGAAGTTGTGAGGATCTTGTATTGGTGTTAATTGGATTAGTAGAAGTTGTATGAAAATCGTGGAGGTTAATTAGGGCTTAGAATTGTCCAATGGTAGAAATTAAGGATTCTAGGTAGCTAAATTTAGTTAGATTTAGCTAATGAGTACTTATGTAAAGTTATAAAATTAATATATAATGCTTAATATTATAGACTTCGTATATTGGAACCTTTAGAGTTTAAGTAACTAATGAAATTTTAAGAGTTACCATGGGTAATCTTTTTAGTAATAAAAAGGTTGAAGTAATTAAATGATTTATACTACTTATTAGCTTGTGAAATTGTTTATAAGTTATTTGTGATATTATATATTTGCATGATTCTAGAATGTGTAGAATGGGAAAAGAATGATTTTCAAAAATGAATTACATTTATTAACGGGTTTTAACTAAAAGTGAAAGGATAAAACATGTTAATTGTATCATATGTAAAAGTTATGATTATCAGAGGGTGAGAGTTCACCCTAAGTAAAGTAGAGTTTGAAAAATCTATATAGTTGAGCTAGCACCATGGGACATCTAATATAGCAAACATGTTATGAATTGTTACCATTGAAAATCTAGGTAGTTATAATATGTGCTCCTTAGCACCTAGGAGGGTATGGCGTTAGAATAAACAACACCCCAATTATGTGTGTAATAGAGGAAATCTGTAGTCTAGAAGTAGGATAGGACACCTTTGGTCGAGTAGTTTTTTCATGAAAGGTAGGCTCAGGTCAACTTATTTGGGTTTGGTCTAGTATTGTAGCCTACGAATTCAGTTGAAGATTAGAATGGATATTATGATCACGCACACAATATTACAACAGTGGACATTATCTTGTGTGTTTTACTATCTTACTTTATATACTTGTTTATAATTTTACTTATTAATAGATAGCTATGAATTATCTTGGTTACTGGGACTCTATCTCACACTGTGGCTACTATTTTACAGGTTTAAAGTCAGATAGAGGTTGAGGAAAGAGCTAGACAATGAGCAGTGGACATCTACTTGTAATGCTTTAACATTTTGGTTCATATATATGAATGTAATTATAAGTATCTTGTTGCCAATTAGGAACACTTTCATTTTGATTTGCACTTGTATGAGTGGATTTTGTGAATATCTTAACCTAAGATGTGTGTGCTTGTGATGTATATGGCAAAGAGTGCTGAGATATTAGTACAAGTGTATATTTAGTATATTTTGAAATGATATCATGAAAAGTATTTGGCCAAGAGGTAGAATATGTGTAAATGCGAAACATAGCCCTTTTTTTTAACAAAGAATATAGCCCTATTTTGTGAGAATTTGGGCTTTTAAGTAGCCAAATGTGATTTGAAATGTATGACTGCTATTATAACTATTCAATTAGGTGCATTTCAGTTCACTAGATATGGTTTAGGCCTCGATTATGGTTAGTGACACAAGTTTGTTGGTTAGGGTACTTGGATGCATGAAAATGACATAAAAGTAGTCATTTAGCATCTTGGTGTCTAATTTTTAAATGTGACGTCAGATTGTTAGATCATCAAATAAGCTTCATATATGCATTTAAATCACTCCACTCGAATATTGGATGAGTCATGTGTCATGGTACATAGCATAAAGCTGAATGTTAGCTCTTTATGCCATATGCTGCGTGGCACACATGCCACAGCACACATAACAAAATGGGCAAATATGACCTTTTTGCCCCTGTTTACTTAATTTATGTAATTTTGTGTTTTTCCATACTTCTAATGCTTTTAAACATTTATTAGTTTGAGCTCAAACTATCAATTTAAAGGGTTTTGAGATCCCAAATGATTTTAGAGTTTTATAAATTTAATTTTTAGCCCTTTTATTATTAATAAGCTTAAGGGTTTAATTGTAACATCCCAAAAAAATTAACCAAGGTTAAGCTAATTTAAAAGAGTAATTAAGTAAATTAAGTGAGGTGTATGGCTAGAGAGGTCTAAAAGGCATGTTTGGTTGTGATTTTAGCTTTAAATTCAGGTCTAAAGTGAAGTTGGGTTACTTGAATATGAAAAAGGAAGAAAATTTGAAGGAAATAGTTCTGTGTCATCTATCGTGGCACATGTGTGTCAACCAATGAAGGACTGTCCTCTCTATACCATGCGCCATGATGTGTGGTGTGTCCGTTGCAGTGTAAGGCCAAAATTTCTAATACATTGGTTGCTTATCAAGCAAAAAATCAAAATGGGAGGACAAAGAGATCAAAGAGCAAGCTTGATTTCTCTGCTAAGACTTGTGATATTGGAAGTTTGAGAGTATTTTTGGAGCTATATAATATCTAAGGTAAGGTTTCTAAGCTTATTTCTTCCTTTTCTCTTCTATTTTCTCTAGTTAGGAAGTTAAAGTTTGAGTTGAATATTGATTTTAGAGTCATATGAGCAAGGGGCCAAACCCATTGACTTAGATAGAGTTAATTGGAGTTGTTTAAACCATCTAAAGCTGGTATTAATAGTTTTATGAGTTATTGGTTGGTTAATATCTGAAAATTGGTTGAGGGTTGTTAGGGGTGTTTGATAGCTATTAATGGTGAATGTTGACTCATTAAGGATAATGTGGGTTATTAGAAATTAATAAACCCAATTGGTATGATTGAAAGTGAATGTGTAATGTTGATTAAGAGAGAATATGGAGTTAGAATGTTGGAAATTTTCCAAATATAGGGTAATAATGTTATCCTCATGTATAATTGCAGATTAACCAATTTGGCACCATTCAAGCTCAAGAAGA